GCTTCACCTGCACAAGTGCCGAGGTAGGTCTCCCCTGCAGAATTGCTTTTCCCTTCGTCGGGAGCAGCGCTGGGCTCTTCAAATCACGGACAAACAGTATCCCACATTCGTGATTTTTAGTTCACAAACACTTGTTGTAATGACTAACTACTCCTGACATTTTGGAGATGTTACTTCTTTATACAGTAAAGTTAAAGTGGGATACAAATAATATCAGGCCGATCCTGCCACGGTTTGTGTCTTTAAGTTCAGTCTGTGTTATGTTTCCTGCTTTACTTTGGAGGTGCATGTCTTATGTTAATCACGGACAAACAGCATCCCACAGCTGTTTATGTTTTTAAACCTATTTTGCATTGAGAGGCTTTTTTTTTTTTAAATGTATTGATAACAACAGTGAATATTATTACACAGGAAAAAAAACCAACTACACGTAAAATAATCACATCGTGACGCCTCTGCCTTTGTAAATGGAGGGACAGTAACTGCGTGTATATGTTAGCGTGTAAAACCTGCAGATAGTCAGATTAACAATATTTTGTCTCTATCTGCCATTCTGCAATTCCTCTCATGTAAACAATAACGTGGCGCACAGCGTGACGTGAAAAAAGACACATACCTTTGACGTTGCGTGATGAACTCTGTATTCCTCGTCCACATGTAAACGCAAAAAGGGAGTTTTAAAAAAATTTACGTTTTCGATGATTCGAAACGCCATTTACGTGTGGACGAAACAGCTGCTTTTTCAAAACTACCCGTGTAGGTGTGGATGTAGCATAAAAGAGTTAGTAGTTTGTTTTCTTACTACCTGTAATTTATTGCAGATTACTTGTATTTGCTTAATTGTTTGCGCGGACATTTTTCTTGTAAAACAAAGGGGGGCCCAGCAAAAAAAGTTTGGGAACTACTGGTTTAACATAAGATAACTAAATACATGTTGGGGTTTATTTTTTATCTTTAAGGCTAATATCTCATAATTAGCATCACATGTTTGTTTTATGCTTCATTACACACAGTAAGAATTGTAGAGTAGTATTAGAAGTAGATTGCTATAATCAGATACTAACAGACATAAACAGAGAGCCCCCTTCTCTAAGAATTTGAGGGGGAGGGGGAGTGAGACCTATTCGCTGGAACGTTCAAGACAATTTACTACACAGCAAAAGCAAGACACAAGTAGGCAAAGTTCTTTGTGTTACTCATGCATGAGGGAGACCTGCCTGGAGCCATGTGTCATCCCCCCACTTGACCTCCGTCAGACTCTCAGCCAGGTTCCCTGTAACACTCCTTTTATTGGGGTTAAATGAATATACATGGGTTCATTAATATATGACGTATACATACACACAAAGAGTACCTTGCCTGTGCGTTGTGTAAGTATGTGTGTGTGTGTGGGGGGTCAGAGTGTGGCACAATAAACAACTTCCCTAAACCTGCTGGCCTGGAAGTCCAGCAGTTCATCTAAACAAAAGGCACTTAGACTTTTTGTCTTTAGTTTACACTGTCAACTTTGTAGTAGTTGTACGACCTCTCCCATGCTCCCAGGGTGTGGGTGTGAATGCCAGAGCACTCTGGAATGCACACGAAGTCTTTGCAGACTCCTAAGGATCACACATCCTATCACTACACAATCGATTATACACCTCTAAGCATATATGGTTAAATATTTCAAAGCATAAATGACAATCAACAATATAAACCTGACAGGGAGCCTCACTAGTGAAGGCACCAGAAGGTACAAACTTTAAGCCTGACTTTGCTAGAGGAAACATGGCCATAAATTTCTGGGGTTGGAGAAGATCTCTTTATGTTTTCGTGACATGCAATAAAAAAGTGTTTACTTCCTGGGTGCGGCAGCCTTTTGTCTCTGAGCCAGAGAGAGGAGGTCCATGGCGCCATGTAAAACTAATTCTAACCATTTTGCTAATAAATTGTTAAAAGTTATAATTGGAGTGTATTTGTCTTCCCTCTCTACATACTCTCAAGATAAAAAAAGAGTAATTGTGTAGTGTCAACATACAAACCAATCAATTACATAACTTAAAAAAAATGAGTATGTGAAAATACAGTGTACAACTACTACAAAGTTGACAGTGTAAACTAAAGACAAAAAGGAAAAAAAAAAAAGAAGTTTTCTGCATAACAGTCTTTGGTCTCTCCAAAGCAATAAACCACAATAAATTGGGTTCCATCAGAGATGCAAAAGTTCTATAAAATATTTTTCAAAACAGATTCAATCACAGAAAAAAAGGAAAGAAAAAAAATTGAGACATTAAATACAATAACTGTGTGTTATATTTGTGTTATATATAACACAAATATAACCATTTTGTGTTACATTATCATGAGATAGCTGTAAAGACTTTACAGGAACAAAAAACATCAAAATCATGTTCATTTAACATATAAAAGTGTTGAGTTATAAAAAAGAAAATTAAGGTCGACTAAACATAACTTTATTGCTTGCAACCGATGTAGGTTATTTTTTTCAGTGAACAGGACGGAGAGATAGGACACACCACAGTTAACTGAAGTTGGTTGCTGGAAAATCAAAGTTTCAGTGTGACAGCACAGATCTCCTCTTCAGTCTCCTCTTTCTCCTTCTCTTGTTCCTTTTTGTGGAAGATTTTTCCATCAAGCTGCTTCACCCATCTCAGCGTGAATTCACTCAGACCGTTCTCCATCAGCCTCTGATTGAACTGGGAAACATATTTATTATTCTCACAGAGTGCATTTTTTAACAGCTGTTTATCAGTAAATATCCATCCGCTTATCCTTTTCAGGGTCACAGGGCGAGAGGCCAACACACAGAGACAGACAACCATTCGCACTCACATTCACACCTAGTGGCAATTTGGATTATCCAATTAACCTATCCCCACAAGTTGCATGTCTTTGGACAGTGGGAGGAAGCCGGAGTACCCGGAGAGAACCCATGCAAACACGAGGAGAACATGCAAACTCCACACAGAAAGACCCCGGCCTGATGTTGGAATTGAACTCAGGACCTTCTTGCTGTGCGGCAACAGTGCTAACCACCGTGCCACCGTGCTGTCCTGGGAGAATGACAGAAGTTTTGATATTATGTTGACTGATACATTACTTAAGGCTGCTGCTAGTGGGGAAAAAATACGAGGATCCATCTTTTGTTTGTTTGTTTTGTCTGTTTTGGTTTGTTGATATAAAATGCTATTCTATTTTAACTAGTTAGTTACCTTTTCCAAGATGTCGTTCTGCAGCACCTCCATGTCCACAGAGGCATCTGTTGCCTTCAGCTCCACCTTCAACAGTCTCTGGTCCTTGACATCTGTTATACAAAATGCTGTGTTATCATAAGAATTACACTGCAGAATAAAAGATTGTACAAGAATTTCTGGAAATGTTAAATTGTAGCCAAAACAAATGAGAGCTCACCAGTGTAACAGAGGAAGTAATTGTAGCCATTACATGCACTGTTGTGCCACTTCTCTAAAAATATGGTGCCACAGGAGTAGTTGTCGTCACTCAGTGGCTTGTTGGGAGCCCAGTTGGGGAAGGAATATGCGCTCCCATCTGACCACATCCAGGAATTTCTATAAAGACCGATCCACGTGGGGGAATTGATCAACATCATCTTCAGCTGTTCATTCTCAGACTGGTTCCTCACACTGGCCAGATCTGTGTGCTTCACTCTGCAGTAGCTCTGAGCGTTCTTCCAGGTCTCACTCACATTCACATAGATGAAGCTCGATGTGTCTGGAAATATGTTTCATTCAGTCAGTCTCCAAGAATATATCAATATCTGTATAATAGTTGTGTAGCATGTAAATGTGTTTGGTTTTTTTGGACTCTTGGTATTTGGGAAAATAACTGCGTTACCTGTCACAGACATATACGTACAAATGTTTTGGTAGTAGTCTAATACAACAGATTGGACTGGTAACTACAAGATATGTAGCATTCATGCTGAAATAATCTGGTTACTAAATATATACAAATAGATCATTTATTTATTTATTTGTTTATTGCAACCACAGGAGAACCTGATATAATAATATGGTAACTTTTTTTGTAATTTAAATTAAGTGTAATGTCATTTTTTCTGACCAGATTTTATTCTGATAAAAGATTTAGTAATAAGGACTAACTCCTCCATCCTTAGTAAGATCTTCTCTTCAATCTCTTAAATCCTCATTCCTTCCTCTACACAACTAAAGGTTGTAAAATCCTTGAACAAACCTTATAAATGAAAGATCAGAGTAACTATTAATAAAACAACATGGAATATGTTAAAGCTAAAGTCTTAATAACAACATAACTGTTTTCCATTACTTTTGCAGTAGCAGATGAATGGGTATGTGACACCGCACGCCTGATCTGCCCATTCCCCACTTGGGAGCATTGCCACACATGCTTTGTAGTATCCTGGACCAACATTGGGTTCATTATTAGCCCACATTCTGAACTCAGCCCCTCCTTCAACATAGTAATTCTGGTATTTCAGAGACCACCTCCATGCTTCAGTGTCAGGCTGGAGTCCAATCCAAACGGGGTAAAGTCCCTTTGTAAGTTTATTGACTATTGCCAGGTCTTTCTCATTATGTACACAGGCCAGGTCAGTGTACTTATTCCTACAGAACTCTTTAGCGGTGCTCCAGTCTCTTGCCTGTGAAACAAGTGTGTAGAGTCGAGGAAAACAGGCAGGCAGGAAACACAGTCCTGTGGTAAGAATAAAGAAACTCACTTTGAAGCATTTCATGACAAATGCAAATCAAACATTTTCTGGATCCTCATAAACTATTGAATATGAGACATTATATAGTAGTTTGTTAATGTTGGTTCATAGTGGCAAAATTAGGAGAGGCTTCTATAATAATGAACAAAGACTTTGTTTCACACTTTAGACCTCAACAAAAGTTACTCATTGATGTACTAACCTATTTTTAACAAATTTTTATTTCATAGAATTTTGGAAATAAACGATTCACACTGACCTGACAGGACCATCATCAGCACTGCATTCTGGTTCATGATGTGCTGTTGGATGGTTCAAGTGTTTGTTGGTGATTTTCTGTGGCAGAAAAAGTGTTTAGAACAAGATACAAGACCACAGACATTACTCATTAAATAATAAACTTTAAATGAAATCAAGGAAAGTAGGCAGTAAAACTTAATTCTTTTAAGTTATTTTTTTCTTCTAAATAACACACAGTAGGTGAAGTTAAATTATAAATAAACAGAAATAATTCCCTCTGACTGGTAGCGACATCAAATGGAAATATTACATTTAAGAAAATCTGCATTCCACTCATTACTTTCTATACTTTTTTCTCCATAAATACAAATATTCACTACCAGATTAATTAATGCCAATTAATAATGTAATAGGAAGTTGGTGGGAAATTAATTTCCCCAAACTTCCACATTGTTGTGGAGGGCTGCACTCAACAACAGCAGTGTGGGCCAGCAGGAAGGAGGCAAGACACCGCTGATGCAAACATAACACTAAATGAACATTACACAATTACATATTATCAAAAAGCCCACAGAAGACCTCTGATGTTTGTTACATTTGTACTTACCTGGAATAAGTCAAATATATGAGCTCCAGCATCTAGCAAACAGCTGAAACACACTTTAAGCCTCGTCCCTTGTCATGTGTTTGGAACTATGTTTATATTACCATTTGTCTTCTGTCCTAGAAAGGGATGACACGAAGAGGTGGAGAATGAGCCAGGTAGGTTTTGAATTACATTTGAATACTTTAAGCATTATTCCAGCCACTTTAAATGCATGTCACAGGAGTGAAATGGTGAAAAAATGTTTGTACTCTTTTTTTTCCCCTGAACCCACCCTGTCTGGCAGTTTTAGCAAGCAGAATAATCATCTGCAACCTTTGTTGAGCCAAACACAATTGTTTTGCCAAGAGGAGCAGTATAGACTCTCTGTAGGGTCCTCTTGGTAATCTTTTTGTTTTATTTATGTAATTGAATTTGAATTTTCAAGGTATCTGGGGAAGGTAAAGGAATTAAGTCAACCAAATTAATTTGTTTAGGAAAATATATCCCCCTTTAGGTAAGGCCAATATTTAAATAAATAGATCCCACTTGAAACCCACATTTGAAAGCGCAGTCATGACATCTGTTTTTGTCTCCAAAACCAAAAATTATGACTTAACAGTATATTAATTTTTAGTTTCTTAGACAAACTGTGATGGCCTGCTAATTTTAACCCACTATGCAGTTGGTGAAACAATTACTTACAAGGCTGGGGTGTTTTATGACATATGTTTTAAAAGTGTTACAACCATCCCCTTGCTCAAAGTGTGAATAGTTTTTTGATGTTACATATACTCATACATATACTTTTACAGCATCATGGCTAGATAGTGGAAGAGAAAGACTGATAGAGGTGTGCCTGCTAATATAAAAGTCCGGTCCTCTTAGTCCTGTTGTTAAATGGGCTGCACCTACGCGATGTTATCGTGCCTTCGGCTCAGATACTGCTGAGCATTTTTCAACACTATTTGAACAACTTGTGTCCAGTCCCTCTGAGTCATCCTCCGTAGATGGATTACTATCTCATCTGGACTCTGTTTGTAAATCTGCCCTTGATGTTGTTGCACCTCTAAGACTCAGGCAGTGTAAACCCAAGGCCAGTCCTTGGCTAACCAATTTTACTCGAGCCATTAGAAGAGAATGTAGGAGATGTGAAAGACGATGGAAAAAGGACAGACTGTCTCTCTGGAAGCTCTTAAGACGAGCTGGAAAGCTTATCAGAGGGCAGTAAAGACCGCCAAAACTCCTATTTTTCACAACTTATTGCTGTTAATTCACATAACCCTCGTGTTCTGTATAATACCATTAATTCTGTAGTGAATGCAGAGGATCATGTTCTTTTGCAATCTTCTGAGGTTATGTGTAATAAGTTTCTTAATTTCTTTGTGGATAAGGTTGCCAGTTTGAGACCCTCCACTTTATCTTCTGTTGGCCCGGCTGTGCATGTTCCCTGTTTAAATTTGCTTATTGCTTTCCAACCAACTGTTCTACCTGAACTAGAGAAGCTTGTGTTAACTGCTAACCTGCGTGGTTCTCCGAATGATGTCGCTCATCCCCATTTACTAAAAAAAGTGTTTCCTACTGTTGCCAAACAGAAATTGCTTATTTATGCATCTAGCAGTTATGTGGCATTATGGTTATATTTTCTAAAAAAAAAAGTGTTTCCTACTGTTCGACCACATATTCTGAACCTAATTAATACCAGCCTCTTGTCAGGTCAAGTACCAAGCGGGTTTAAGCATGCAGTTATTCACCCCTTACTTAAGAAGCCAGGCTCAGATATTTCAGTAATGTCAAACTTTAGACCCATCTCTAAACTTCCTTTTCTGAGTAAGATCTTGAAAAAGGTTGTTCACACTCAGCTGATGGATTATCTAAACAACTCTCAAATGTTTGAAGTTTTTCAGTCCGGCTTTAAGCTATTTCATAGCACAGAGACAGCTCACATAAAGGTTATGAACGATATTCTGGTAGTGACGGACTGAGGTAAACATGTAGTGCTTATACTACTAGATATGACTGCTGCATTTGATGCAGTGGATCACGACCTGCTGATCTCTCGATTACAGCATTGTGTGGACATTTCTGGCTTGGCACTCCTGTGGATAAAATCATATCTCTCAAACAGGAGCTTCTGTGTTAAGTTGGGCTCGTCATCGTCCTCTGTGGCCCCTCTGCCATGGGGTGGTCCCTCAGGTAACTACTGCAAGAATATTGGATGCATGATGATAGGATCCAGTTGTGCCAGCCAGCCTCCCACAACACGTCACCCTGAATCCACTGGTCCACAGATCCCACACCCCCACCACACAGACCTATATCTTTTTCATACAAGTGTATTATACTAACATGTTTATTAAGTAGTCATAGTGTTATGAAAGCGTGTAAACTACACACACCAGAGTGCATCTGTCACGGTTCTGGGTCAGTTTTGACCCAGTATTTTGAGTT